TGTCCCCGATGTCCCCCCTGGCACCGTGTGGCCGTGTCCCCCCCATGGCCCAATGTCCCAATATCCCGATAATCCCCCATGTCCCGATATCCCATATCCCGATATCCCATATCCCGATATCCCATATCCCGATATCCCGATAATCCCCCATGTCCCGATATCCCCATATCCCGATATCCCCATATCCTGATATCCCATATCCCGATATCCCGATAATCCCCCATGTCCCGATATCCCGACATCCTGTTATCTCCATATCCCGATATCCCGATAATCCCCCATGTCCCGATATCCCGATACCTCCATATCCTGATACCTCCATGTCCCGATATTCCCGTATCCCGACATCCTGTTATCTCCATATCCCGATATCCCAATATCCCGATATCCCAATAATCCCCCATGTCCCGATATCCTGATACCTCTATATCCCGATATCCCATATCCCGATATCCCGATAATCCTCCATGTCCCGATATCCCGATATCCCCATATCCCGATATCTCCATATCCCGATATCCCGACATCCTGTTATCCCCATATCCCGATATCTCCATATCCCAATATCCCAATAATCCCCCATGTCCCAATATCCCAATACCTCCATATCCCGATATCCCCATATCCCGATATCCCCATGTCCCGATATCCCCATGTCCCGATATCCCCATGTCCCGATATCCCGACATCCTGTTATCCCCATATCCCGATATCTCCATATCCCAATATCCCATATCCTGATATCCCGATATCCCCATATCCCGACATCCCTGTATCCCCATATCCCGATATCCCCATGTCACGATATCCCGATATCCCCATGTCACGATATCCCATATCCCATATCCCGATATCCCAACATCCCTGTATCCCGATATCCCGATATCCCAATATCTCCATATCCCGATATCCCCATGTCACGATATCCTGGTGCCTCCATATCCTGATATCCCCATATCCCGATATCCCAACACCCCTGTATCTCCATATCCCGATATCTCCATATCCCGATATCTCCATATCCCGATATCTCCATATCCCGATATCCCCATATCCCGATATCCCCGTATCCCGATGATCCCCCATGTCGCAACACCCCCAATACCCCCGGTACCCCTGATATCCCGACATCCCCGTTATCACGACATCCCCGTTATCGCGACAATCCCCCGATATCCCAACATCCCCTCTATCACGACACCCCCCGCTATCACGACAGGCGGGTGGCTATCGCGACATCCCCATGGCTATCGCACCAATCCCCGCCGCTATCGCGACAGGTGGGTGTCTATCGCAACAGGCGGGTGTCTATCGCGACAGGCGGGTGTCTATCGCAACAGGTGGGTGTCTATCGCGACAGGCGGGTGTCTATCGCGACAGGCGGGTGTCTATCACGACAGGCGGGTGTCTATCGCAACAGGTGGGTGTCTATCGCGACAGGCGGGGGTCTATCGCGACAGGCGGGTGTCTATCGCGACAGGCGGGTGTCTATCGCAACAGGCGGGTGGCTATCGCGACAGGTGGGTGTCTATTGCGACAGGTGGGTGTCTATCGCGACAGGCGGGTGGCTATCGCGCCAATCCCCATGGCTATCGCGACATCCCCATGGCTATCGCGCCAATCCCCATGGCTATTGCGACATCCCCATGGATATCGCACCAATCCCCGCCACTATCGCGACAGGCAGCTGTCTATTGCGACAGGCGGGTGGCTATCGCGCCAATCCCCATGGCTATTGTGCCAATCCCCGCCGCTATCGCGACAGGCGGGGGTCTATCGCGACAGGCGGGGG